AAAAATATTAGTTTTTAGCTGGTTCAGTGCATTTGCATCTGGCTTACCAGGCAGCCGTGCAGGGGCTTGTGTTGGCACTACAGGGGAGGCAGCATGGGGAGAAGAGAGACCAAACTGAGGGAGGGCAAGGAACAATGGGAAATATATATCAGGCTATATTCTCATCCTTCACTGTTCACCTTCCAACAAAAAACACTTTCCATTCATTTCCACCTCCACACACTGCTCTCTTGAAGGCAAGTGCCTGCTCCTTTTTGAGACCTGAGTCTACATTTCATAGTCAGCAGAGGAATTTAAGCCTCAGCAGGGGCCAGCTGACACAGCAGCTAAGATTAGATCACAAACTACTATTTTAAGTTGCTATGTAAGCAGCAAGAAAAGGCAAAGAGCAAAAATATAAGAATAGTGTGGCACTGAGTTTGAAGGCTCCCTCCGTTCCCTGTTACGATACCCTGTAGCTAGGTAAAGTGAGACCCAGTGGCATTTTAAATTGAATAAAAAGGAATTAAATGATGGACACCCACATTTTCAATCAGGGCTGAGTGTACTGAATGAGAGAACACAAAAGGTCTCCATCTGTATACCTATTTGGGGGATCACTAGAGGATAAGACCTGCCTGACCTGACCTGCACAGCGCTGGTGAGTCAGCTCAGTTCTCTAACAAAGCTCAGCCCAGCCCTCAGCCTCGAGGAACCAAGGCTAAAAGACTTACCTGCAGATAGTAGATGCAGAGAAAACTGGGTTAAATGCCAAATTTCTAGGTGGAGAGTGTGGTCCTTTTTAAATCTTACGACATTTTGCTGTGAAGATACTCGTCCTCTAATCTACCTACAGGGATGGAGACCTGCAGTCATCTGAACACAGCCACACTTTGGTCAGCTCCAACATACTGAGTGAAGGTCACCAGCGCTGAAAGTGGAAGCTTTCCTTAACAACATGGAGTGAAAAAAGGCAAGCTGTGCACAGTCCACATCTACCACTGATGCAGTATAGTCCCCATTCTTCACCTCTTACGCCAGGCTCACTGTCCCTTCTCCTTTCCTATCAACACACCCAGCCCAGTCTCCCTTCCCTTGCAGAGGGAAAGGCCATACCAATGCCAAAACTGCTCAGCCGGGCAAGGCTTTGCCAGTGCTGTAATGGGAGTAAATAAAAGCCCTCAAATAAATAGGAGATGATAGGGAGGCAGAAAACTGTAATTCTCATGACTGATGGCATTACTCAATTTAGACATTAACATTCAAGCTAAAGCATTAAACCTTGGATTTACTGAGCATGCCTGTTATTAATTTTGCCTATTCAGGCTGCATTGCTAGCAGGTAGGTGTATAATTTAAAAATGAATTGAATTAGTGTACAAGTTAAGAATTGCAGAGACAATGATCATATCTCTTCCCAGGCTGCTGATGAAAGGCTGTACAGGATTTATTTTTACCTTCATGAAGGTTTGGGAGGAGCGTTTACTGGATGGCTCCACAGCCTGTATAATTCCCCACGTTTCTTTATTAAAATAATACTCCTAATCCTTGTTCCTTAACTAAGAAATGACACATAGCGGGATTCCCACCTCTGCATTACACTGATTTACATAAATCCTTCCTTTTTGGAGTCTCATCCAGCAAGGACTGTTCTTCCCCACTCTTGAGAAGGTTTCTGCTCTGGGCCAGGTTAGAGCATCCCCACGCTCTGTCCTGGAGGACAGAGATGCTGTGGGAGCAGCTCAGAGACCCTCCCAGCATTACACACAGAGCAGGTGCGGGAGCAGACTGCCACAAACAACCTGGTTATTTCCCTTCCCTTCAGCTTGGAAGAAAGCGGGGAGTCCCTGTGATGCTGATCCTTGCAGAGCCTTCAGCAAGACCCATAGGGGTAAAAATTGTTCAGATAGCAATTCATGGATTCATAGATTCATAAAATGGCCTGGGTTGAAAAGGACCACAGAGATCATCTAATTTCAACCCTCCTGCTACATGCAGGGTCACCAACAACCGGACCAGGCTGCCCAGAGCCACATCCAGCCTGGCCTCAAAATGCCCTGCAATGGCAGGACTTGATCCATCCCGTTATGGCAGATGAGCTTTTGCCTTCCTGCAATTAGTGGCTTTGAAGATATATCAGATTATTATTGTTCGTTATTATTGTTATCGTTATCATGACTGTTTATTATTATTAGCGGAGAGATTTTGATTTTTGGGGAAGATTTTGGGTGTTTGTGTATCCTGTTTCTACTTTGCACATATATATACATATATATGGAGAGAGGGAGAGAAAATAGCGTCAAAACAGCATCCCTGGTCAGGAAGGAACTCTGTCATCAGCACGCTGAGAGCAGTTTTGTTCATGATCTTCTCTACCCAATCTGCACATAAAGAAATCGCTACACTCCCATGACAAGTCCATGGAACACCCACCAGGCTTTACAATTCTGCACCGACCCACCAGAATTTGAAACAGATTATCTTGGATGTAAAACAAACAGACAAGCAAACAATAATAGAAGCTGTTATTTATTCTGTCTCACCTTTGTTTTAATGCAAATACAGTGGAATATAACATTGCGCTTCACAAATGCAGACACGTGCTTTGAAAATCTGAGGTAAGCTGTCATTTCTGCCGAAGTCAGTAAAAAATTCTTACTGACTTAATTGAGACAGGATTCCACTCCTTAATATGCTGTAACAGGAAACTGAGCGCTGCCCTGAATACCAAGGATGATTTATTGGAAAGCAATACCAGGGCATCTCATACCTAGTCATTAAGATTACCTTGAGCTCATTATCATGCTTTCCTCTAACTGAATTTTAAAGATTAATATTAGATGGCTGTTCACATTAAGGAGACCTGTTAAAGGTAATCATGCACTTCGTAGGTTGTGCTGCTATTTAAAGAAAACTGTTGACACTCTTCATATCCATTATCTAAAACAACCAGTGGACAAAGGCAGAATGGAGGAGGAGGTGTTGTAAGCTATCAATAAGAGGAAAGCCTGGTGTTTTCTTTAACAAGATGTTGTGGCTTAACCCAGCAGGCTGCTCAGCAGCACACAGTCGTTTGCTCACTCCCTGCTCATAGAGGGGTGAAGGAGAGAACTGGAAAAAAAAAACAGAACAACCAACAAAGTAGAACTTGTGTGTTGAGATAAAACTATTTACTGATATGGGAAAGGAAGACAAAAGGAGTAGTAATAATGATAATAATATTAGAAAGCAAGTGATGCACAAAACAGTTGCTCACTATCCACTGACCTGTGCCCTGCCAGTCCTCAAGCAGTGGCTACACCCTGGCCAACTCCCCACAGTTTTAAAAGCTTTTTTGCATGTTGCTGTATGGTATGGAATATCCATTTGGCCAGCTCAGCTCAGCAGCCTTGGTTCTGTCCCTTCTAGTTCCCCTCACTAACAGGACAGCACGGGAAATTGAATCATCCTTGTCATCCTTGTCACTGTTCAGCAACAGCTAAAACATCAATGTGTTATCAATGTGTTTTTCTCCCAAAGCAAAAATGTAGCATCATACCAGACACTATAAAGGGGAAGGAAAGAAACAGGACACATGGGCAGATATTACAGTAATGGTTTTTGTCTGTTCTTTTCTAACCTGTATCAACATAATAACATACCAACATAATACATTTTATTTCTAATTCAAGCCAAAGCCAGACTTCTACTGAAGACAGATTGTATTTTTTTAAAAAGTGATGCAAATAGATATTTTATTGATGAAAACTATTGCTTTGTGTGTGCATGATGATCTTGTGACTTCTTAAAAAAAGCTGTCAGAAGAGCAGAAATAATAATGAATGTCACCGTGTAGGGCTGAAATGATGACAGTGTATTTGCCCACACACTTCCAGAGCTGGTTTAGTGTAGGAAAGTAGTTGCTTGCAGAGTTGTCATCGTTTCCTCCCATGTTGTTCAGAGCAGACTTACAGATGCAGTTAGGTGTCACTGTCAAGAGGAACTGTCAGTTTGTGGCAGCACAGCCCTTATTTTCCACTGAATGTGTGAATACAGAAGGAATTGTCTCCCTGGCTGTTTCAGTAGTGAGAGCTTTCAGCAGAAATGTTCAGACTTCTTCGTAAAATGTAGCATACAGTTAAAGATTAAGATCTAATTTTTCATTTCTAGTTCCTTTTTCTTTTCAAGGATATTTCAATGTATCAGTAATCTTATTTTTAAAAAGACATGTACTGTGGCAAAACCACAGTTCAAGACCATTGGACATGCTCCATTCACACCCTGAAGATGCCCACTGATTCAAAACCATGAACATGGAGAAGGAAAATTGCCCAAGCAAGGCAATCTGAGATTAAACTGTATGGAGAAGTTCTTTACTATGAGAGTGGTGAGGTACTGGAACAGGCTGCTCAGAGAGGCTGTGGATGCCCCGTCCCTGGAGGTATTCAAGGCCAGATTGGTTGGGGCCCTGGGCAGCCTGGGCTGGTATTGAATGTGGAGGTTGGTGGCCCTGCCTGTGGCAGGGGGGTTGGAGATTCATGATCCTTGAGGTCCCTTCCAACCCGCGCCATTCTGTGATTCTGTGAAAACTGACTCTAAATGAGCAGTGATCTTTCTGTGGTATTCAGTGGGCTTTGGATTGGGCGTGTGAGACCACAAGGGCTTTGGATTGGGCGTGTGAGACCACAAGGAGAGTAGAAGTATTTTTTCAGCTCATATTTTCAGCTGTAGTGGGAGCCTGGTATTGTGTCCAGTCAGCAGTGGCATGGCTGAGTTTGTTCTTCTTGCACAGCTTTTGTGCGTTGTTGTTGGACTGCTCCATTGTCCCCAGTACATACCCATAGCTCTTTACCCATTGGCATTGGCCAAAACAAGACCAATTTTAATTTGCCTCTTGCCTTTCCACCACCAAAAACTACTTTAAGTTGTTGATGATGTTGGCAGCACTGTTTTATTTGTATTTCTTCTGTTCTTTTGTGTTTTGTCTTTCTTAAGTATGAGTTTTTTCTAATGTGGTATCTGTGTGCAAACATATGCATCTGACGAAGGCAAAAGAGATTTATTGCATGTTTTGCTAATACAGAGGAAAGGGGAAATTGCCTACATAATGGAGCAGGAGATTCAGTTTTAACTATGTCATTTCTCTTGTCTCCATAGTACTGAATACACAAATACATAATCTACCTCCTTTTTCAAAGATATCAGCATACAATTAAACCCTACAAAGCTTGACAACCTGTCGTCAAGTGGTTTAAGCAGTTGTTTCAGAATCTGACAGACAAATTTATAAACAAAACGTAGAGCACCAGATTGTGGGATGAGGCAGCATCATCACGTGGCTTCCTCATTACCTCAAAATTTGGAAAACAAAACAAAAAAAAAAGTAGAGAAATGCTTCTTTTTTTCCTTGAATAAATAACAGTTTAATTACATTATAGAAATAAAATATGATATGGTAGTAGTACACTGGAAATTTTACAGAAATACTATTCTGCTACTGGTAGGTAAATGGTCAAAGCTACTTTTCATGACAATCTGAACAGTACTTGTGTACAAACTATTATACATGTTGCTAGTGAAAAATATTGCAGCAGTTGCAAGGATGTTACCAGCTCAAACAAACACCTAATGATACAATATTCTTCTAAGAGGAAGTAATAATGTTAGATTTACAGACAATAAAGAGTTATGTTGTCCACTTTGAAACACTGGAAATAAAAAGCTCAGGTAGCCCCATTTCTTTACGTTATATTATCACAAGGAAGTATTTTCCTTTCACTATGAGACAGCATCTCAAGAGACCTTGTAAACAGTTTATTCAAAGGTAGTATTTGAGATGTCACAGCAACTTCAACAATTGCCCTACTCAACAATTACAGACTTTTAGGCCACTGCTTGTACAGATGACTTTTGTTTTTCCCACTTATTTACATACATTCAGCCCAGTAACAGCAGGCAAAATGCGCTGTCTATCTCGCAACAGACACACTACAATTTTCATCCAGAGACCAGTGCAAGAAAACGCAGATATCGATTGCACAGCGTCGCGGGGATTATATTATACAAATATACAATCAAGACTGTTGAGAATCTAACTCTGCACGCATGTAACACGAATGATCTTCTTACAGCTATACGACATTTGGAGTTTTCAGGTACACATAATGGCGACTATCACTGGTTGGGTGGTGACAGTGTGGGTGGCCGTAGAGCACAGGTTGGCTGTGCTATCGCTAGGTGAAGGTAGTCAGCTGCAAATGGGGAACTGCTGGAGCTGAAGGTGAAGTACAGCTTATCTCGGAACGGCAGCAGGTTTTGCTAATGAATTGGCCGTCCCACTCCATGTGCAACTTGTAGGCAAGTAGTTGCCACCTCTTGAATAAATGGTTCTAAGTGAACCGACACAGTTCCCAGAGCTTTAGAAAAACTCATTATGCAAATGAAGATCCTGATGATAGACGGTAACGTTTCACAGGATGCTATTTCTTATTCTATCAGTAAGCACCAAGTTAAGTGCCAAGACAGCCCCATTGTCCCATGATTTATCGCATAGAATTTAGAACTCAAATGCACGACAAAAGTCCACAAAGTTTGCATTTAATTCACAAGAAGACAGTTTCAAAAATGGCTCTTAAAATACCTTAACATTTAAGTGGGATTCCCCCCTCCTCTCCAAGAGGATTGCTTTAGGAAGGACTACATCTAGGTACGAGAAAGACCTGCCCTGACACACTTAGGGGCGGGATGTCCTGTTCCACCACTCAGGTCAGCTGCAGGGAGGGAGGTGGAAGAGAATACTCCCATAACTTCTGCTGCACAGTATCTCTCCTGAGGAGATCTCTGCAAGGTGCCACCACACACAGTATCTGAATGCCCTGAACTCACAGCCACCCCTGCCACCAAAGAGCTGCCAGCTAAGCTCACCTTGGCCTTTTCTGCTACCAGCTGCTCTGGCCTGCACTACCACTTCCAAACACCATGGAGACATTCTGATGGCCAGCAACCTCTAGGCTACCACCCTGCTCTCCTTCCCTACGTAAGCCCACTGCAGGACAGCAGCTCTGCTGGCCCGGTGTCACTGAGGGAGTCACTCTACTTGTGGCACGCACCAGGCAGCTAGTGGGCTAGGCCACATCCACAGCCATTTTGGCAGAAAGCAGTTAGGAAAGGTGTGAGGAAACAGTCCAAAAGAGGAAGGCAGCAGAGAACGGGACACAGAACCTTCAATGTGTGACAGTATCTATGCCTAAAAGACTAGCAACATCCTCATTGTGGAAATCCCAGGTGTCAAACACAGTTCCTCTATAGAGCAGAGTCTCCATTTTCACAAGTAACTTCACCTTCTTGGAAGCTGATGAAATCACACCTTGTCCTCTGTAACCTAGTTTCACAGTGAGACTCACCTCGTTTCACACAATCAGATTTGAATACAAAAGGATTGAAATGCTCCTTTATTCTTGGCATACTCCATTTCCATAACACCCTCAACATCCACTCCAGTGGTCAGTGCTGGCTCACACCTGACTCTGTCTCGCTGCATTTCATTCTCAAGCACAGCTGGAAGGTTGTTTTCTCTAGCACATGGATACACCCCTTAGTGCTGGATCTGTATGTTCGCAATATGGTACCTTCGTCAGCAATCAGTTGGAAGAACTCAATTTTAGAAACAGAATTTGTGTGCAAAGCGTGCAACAAGAAATACAGCTTACATTTGGTCATAGTGTCCTATCTTAATTATGCTACCATGACTCACACTTATTATACTTACACACACACACACGTACACACACATAGATATTTATTTATATACACGCTCACACAATAAGAAAATGCCTAAATCTGACAATACTTCCTCCTCTTTGAGTGAAGGCTGGAGTCCGGCATCTCAGGCTCTGAACTGGCTTAAACCTGGGGTACAGGAATGCAACACACTTCAAGTATACATCGATGGCACAGTGATTACATCACACATGGAGCTGGACACATGCTGTTTTCAGTTGTCCAGCACCAGCATGTGACTCAAGGAGCCAAAATCCAGGACCTTCGCTTTCAGCGTTCATATTCACACAACACCCAAGAGAAGGGAGATAAGTCTGTACAACAGTAAATGTCCTTCTGCAGCGGTATTTAAAAGTCTGAACCAGAGCATTCCTCTCTTATATTCCTTCTCTATTCCTTTGTTGCTGTTATTCTCATATGCATGTGAAAATAAAAGGTAGTAGGGAAGTAATTTTAGTAAAAGAACGCAAAGCCTCTCCCCTACATCCACAGAAGACCACTAGAAGTGTAAAATTTCCAAAATAGCTCATAGGAACTCTTCAAATACAGTAAGTATTTTCAATGGGGTATACATATCACATTTCACATTATTTCCACATAAATCTACCTTATCACTTTGTTTAATTGGACAAATATCAATAACACATAACAAAACAGCATACAATTCACAGGACACGACACATTTTACAAAATTTCTAAAACTCAGCACTGCCGCTTTTGGAAAAAATCAAAACTCCTATTACTTACAGACATGAAATACATTTCACATTTAGATGGACAGCATGATTACAAGGCTTTTTCTTATTGAATGGTATTGATTTAGGATGCATTAGTTTTCAATTAGGTTTCACAATTTTTCTTCACATCCCAAAAAGGAACTTTTGCTAGCTTGGTGTTTTTTCTGTGCTCTTGCAGGAAACTGGCTATTATCCAGTAAACACTTTTTGAGGGGAAAAAAAAACCAACAAAACAACTTTTGAAAATTTAGCTTGGATCACTAATTGTAAAACTCGAAGAACTGGCTGATGGTAATACTCTTAACACAACCATTGCTTAGCTTACAATGACAAATCAAAAAGATATTACAGGGAGGTACAAACACGTTACACCACTGGTTTGGTATTCTCTGTTGTTCAATTAATTTTTTTTTTTAACTAACTCCTTTTCTCACAACGCTGAGAAGTCTCTGACTTACAACGCTTCAGCAGTCGTGTCTGTGGAGACAGACATGGTCACTTTGGCAATCTTAACTGTGCTCTTAATGCAGCTCTCAGCAGCCCTGTGCATGTTTCCCGCGTTGTTGGCGTGTTTGTGCTGGCAGTCAGACTCCATGCTGTTATCCAGAGGCTGAGCAGTCCCTTCGCAGGTGGGGAACATGCTCCGGAAGGCATGTCTCAAGTCCTTGCTCCTCAGAGCATAGATGATGGGATTCACTGTCGAATTCAGCAGACAGAGCATGCTACAGAAGGCAAAGACAGTCTTGATGAGCTTGTTCATTTTCCCAAAGACATCGTACACCATTATGGCGAGGAGAGGACCCCAGCATATGATTAAAACGACTAGAATAAGGACCAAGGTTTTGGCTAACCTGATGTCCATACGAGTTTGATCAGGTCTAGTGATCTGTACTTTCCCATCCTCTGTACTCTGAATGATTATGCTTTTCTGCGTGCCACGCTGAAGCATGCGAACAGCGTGGCTGTGCGCCTTCCACAGTATGTACATATAGGCATAGACAATGAACAGCAAGAGGATGCTGGTGACCCCGATCCAGAACATCAGGTACGTCTCGTCGATGAGAGGGAATATGTCTGAACACACGGAGTTGAGCTTTTTGCAGTTCCAGCCGAGCAGTGGAAGAACAGCTATTACAATGGCAATGGTCCACATCACACAAAACGCAACGACAGCCTTTGGTCGGGTTACAATCCTTTTGTAAGCTAGCGGCCTGTGTATAGATATGTACCGGTCTATTGCCGTGAGAAAAAGGCTACCTACAGAGGCAGTGAAGGAGGCAGTAACTCCACCCAGCTTGAACAAGAAGACGTTGGGGCTGTCCTTCCTGTGGAAAACATGGAAATCAACAAAACTGTAGACAAAAATCACGCTGCCCAGGAGGTCGGCCACAGCCAGGCTGCCTATGAAATGGTAAGAGGGTCTACACCGAAGGCTTCGGGAGTGGAGGATGACACACAGGACCAGGAGGTTCTCTAGAACTGTGAAGGTGCCCAGGGTGAGCGACAGCACAGCGATGGCCAGCTGCTGGCTGGGGTTCAGGATCATAAAGCATTCCATATCCATGAAGTTCTCCCCACATTGTATGTTCTCCTCATTTTCCTTAAACGTGGACAAGGACTTGTTGTAAAACTCTGTGATATTGATCTGGTCTGAGGGAATAATGCTTAGCAGGGGATCATCTCCTGCAGTCATTTTTTCTTGGAAAGGATCACCCCTAAAAGAGGAGAGAGGGAACTTCTGGGGGTAGTATCCCAGCTTGGATGCCATGTCGCCTTTCATGTCTTCGTACTGGATATCGTTGGAGCCCACGTAAAGGAGATCTGTTGTAATTGTTCGGAAAGTTGTATCTGCAAGGCCATCTAGAATTGACTTCATAACCTCAGTCTTGTTGGTTTCAAAGAGACTTGGAGGATGGAAAAAGACATCTGAGGAAATCCTAGAAGGGGAAAAGATCAAACTTTGTTAAGACACACAGGGAGACAAACTCCACAAACAACTAAGCTGAACTGTGTCAAAATTGACCTTCCTCCTGTTTTCAGTTCAGGTCTAGCCTTTACCACTTGCGGGAGTCAGAATGACTTGAGCACTCGGAAAAAAATCACACGGATTTCACTAAAATTATATTACCCTAGAAGTGGTGAAAAAAACTGGAAGTACGAAGCACTGAGTATTCAACAAAAGTTAATTTTCATTTCTCATCAAAACGTTTTGAGCTGCTTCACCAGGAAGATATTTTTCTCTAGATCTGAACTTAGCTTCTGATTGCTAAGTACCTTGCAGACCAATATTCCTTGGGCTTGCTTCATTTAGATAATACCAAGTGCCACTGCAAGAACAGCATTAAACTGAATCATCACCTTTATTGCTTTCCTTCCAAAAGGCACCAAGGGTTTTGAAAACCTGACAATGCAGGGAACAGAGAAAGAGCCACGCACTCTAAATTTCACAGTTCACCCAGTATGCCAGCACATTCACATGATTCTGTCACAGTAATTTGAGGTCTACTAAGAAACTGAGATTATTATTGAAAATTAATCAGCATCTATAGCACATTTATCTATAAATGCAAAACCTGGATAAAGTTTCAATTCAATTCCTATCTAAGCAAACCTAAGTAACCAGGATGCTCAGACTACAAGGCAAAGTGGGTGTTTACCTAGCTCTCTCCACAGTTTCAGGAAAAATGAGCAGCGCTGCAAAATCAGCAGGTGTAACAGTGACTCATTCTGTCTGGATTGGAAAGCTCCATCAGGAGAGTTCACATTTACTGAGAAAAACATGGCGCAAAGTTTGGCAGCAGTGCGAAGCTGTGGCCAAAACTCTGGGTGAGAGGGACCAAAGAACCACTGCTCCCACGAGAAATGTGGCAACGTAATTCTTTCAACTGAGGACACCCTCAAAGACACTCAGTCCCCTCAGAATTAGGAAACAGCAGAAGGTGCACAGGGAGCCATCAGTTTCTGAGTTCTGTTACACCAAGCTTCTGCTTGAGGCTGATGATTTGTGCAGGATGTAGTTCCTGGTCACGGTACCCTTGGGAGAGCATGCTTATCACCAACTAAGCATCATCTGTACATCAACATGTAAGACTGGTCTCACAGTTCTTTTTATGCTGTGCTCCTTTATGTAACTTCATCCACGCAGCACTCCCTGAATATACATTGAACACCTGCTTTAGGTCCCCTTCCATTGCCAGAGTGGCAGTCAGTAAATGCAAAGAGCTAGAATCATTATTTCAGCTATTCTGCATCTGCTATGGGACACTCAGATGATTACATCAGCAGCAATAACAAAAGCAAACTTCTTCATGCTTTTAGAATGGAGAAAATTGTCTGAGATGCTCAAGAAATCCCTGAAGCTGAACACAGCCTTGCGCTGATGTAACTTCTTCACTTTACACAACTGACAATAAATGTCCAGAAAGGCCACCAGAGATTAGTGGCCAAAATCAAGAGTACTTACTGATCACAACTCTGAAAAAGTAAACATGCTCTGTACTTATCCAAGTTTTTCCACAAAAACTGAAAGAAAGAGGTGCAAAGGGCTGGAACAAGACCATCTTTAAAATCCCATCCAACCTACACAATTCTATGATTCTACAATTCTGCAATAACACTTAAAAAGAGGAGAAACCATGAGGATTTCCAAAAGAAGCCAAGATCATTTGGCAACTGATATATTTATAGTGCGTGTTGACTTGGTATCTAACAACTGAGACTGCCTCCATAGTTCATTAATAGAATGTTTCCCATTCTATTCAGTAGGCCTAGACACGTGGCATTACAGGAAGAATATGAACCCTCACTTTCAGAAGACACTGCAATGTTGGTGCCGCTTGAAAGAAGGGCTACAAACAAGCCAGGATGAACAGGACAGTCCCATATGCAACACACGATACTCACTGTCAGCTTTCACAGACATTGTTGCTCCACAAGAAATAAAATAATTATTAGATAACTTTGAAATATATTAAGGGATTAAATTCTGAGGGCTTAATTAGTGCAGGAGGGAAATGCCGCTGAAGTGCACATTAAAAATGGACTGCAATCATCTAACACATAAGGTACTTCTCTTCCAGAAGGCACCTTCCAGATGTTCCCGGTAGTTTTCGAAGATTGTATATGTTGCAAAAATGACCCTGCTGACAAGCGTGTGTTGGGTAAAATTTGGCAACTTTGGACTTGGCTTTATAACATCAGTTTAAAACCTGGAGTGAAGAAAATGGTATTCATTTGAAAGATACCGAGAATAAGAACAAAACCCAAGTCATTCTATAAGCATGTAATGATGGCTGTGGTACTCACACACTCTGACTTATTTCTGTCAGAAGAAAGACAACCATTTTAATGAATACAGCCACAGCCCCATGTCGAGAAGATTATGTTTGAGTAAAGCTTTGAAAATTGTATGCAACGAAACACTTCTGCCAGACAGACAAACAAATTGTTACGAGGCAGTTAGTTCCCGCTGAAGGCACGTTAAGTATATGGCCTCATCATAAGGTGCCAGCCCTGCTACAGCTCCTACCTCTGTTTGAAATACAAATGAAACAACAAGGATTCCTCTGTGCTCTTTTAGAGGTGTCAGTGAGCTATGTGACAATATCACCATGCATGCATATGCTATGCTAACAACATGGTTAATGGGATCAGGAGAGGCAAGTCTTACTTTGAATTTCAATGATTTCTGTTCTCAGTATTCTTATATTCAGATTATTACAGTAATTTCTACCTTATTGTCTCTGCAAAGAGTTTTCTTTGAGAGTACTTGAGAGTTCATTAGTGGTGCAGTTTAGGCTTTGGGGGATGCAGCTGACATTAATTTTGTTGTTGTTTGCTGCTGGGAATATCATAATTGGAAATTTCTAGCAGTATGTGTGCACGCGCCTATTCAAGCAGCAGTTGATTTTTATTAAAGTTGCAGTAAAACAGCCATTCACGTGATCTGGAATTGTACTTCACTGGAATTTAGTACATTTTAATTTAGATGCTAGCTTGTCCCAGTATAAACTACAATACTGAAATGCACTGAAACAATGTTTTCCTTGGCTGCCTACTGAAAACAAGGCTGGACTTTGCCATCGGGGCTACCAGAAGTGTCCAGTTTAGGGTCTGAGGTGATGCACAGGTTAGCACAGACCAAAAAGTTGGTCCCTTTGTTTGGTGAGGTCTGAGGGCTGGTACCACACGATGCTCAGTACTGAGCTCCACTGTCTGCAGGCACAGATGTGCACCTGGCAGGCATGGCCCCTGAGCTAGGAGCACCCCATCAGAAGCCACATGGCCAGTTCTTCCCCGTTGGCTTCCCTTCAACACAAACCAATGACTTGAGACCCACAAACATTGCCCTTGGGAGCCCTGAAGAGTTTCACAGCCTCCCTGGCAGATGAGGGCCCCTCGTGTCAATCCCTCCTTTGGAGAGAGGCTCTGGGAGAGGGCTCTATGCTGCAGCTAAGCCCAGAGCCTGGTGAGGGAAAGCCCTCCTGCCCAGCCAGGAGCCGCTTTTCCTGCTGACGATTTGAGTCCCTGAAGCTCTCAGCTTGCTCCTTTTCCTCGACGACCTCTACAACTTTGCTTATTTTAAAATGGCTCTAAGAAGAACAGAAATGATGATTAAAGATGAGTAAGAGCCCTTGCCGATGCCGGCACTTAAAACTGTCAGTGTATTTATGTGAGAGCACACAGCAACTCACAGTAATGAATTCTGATGATGGATCATGATTTAAAAAAAAAAAAAAAAGATAAAAACCTCAAGTGTCTTTTATCCTGAAGAATAAAACCAGAAAAGCCAATAGCTTCACACCATTTTAGACAGTGCTACTTCTCTCCTAAACCTGAGGCTCCTGGCTGGCACTGTCAGACTGGCTGTGCAAAGCAGCTGCCACTAGATGGAGTGGCTTTTATGAACACATCAGCGAGCTGTCTTCAGACCTGGATTTAACTTCATCTATCCTGTTCTTCCAGCCTGCTTTGCCAGGGTCCAAACATACTAAACATCAGCTGACAGTTGAAGACATTCCCAACTGTGTAGCTCTCCATCCTTCAGATCTGAAGAATGGGTGAAGGGAAGGGCAAATCTTACCACTGCCCTTTGCTGCATGGTTCTGCACAGCTTACAGAATGTCTAGGTGCTAGCAGAGTATCAAGACCCCTTAGATAAAATCTAAATCAGTTAATGCATAAAAGGCTGGGAACTCATCTCGGACAACAGGGAGAATTCCAACTCCTCTTGATTTCTCACTGGTCACAGGACCAGTTCACACAAGGAACAAGAAGGTGACTTTCTTAAAATGCTGCAATCTATTTTCTCCTGCTGCTTTGGGGGAGAAGGAAAACTGGGAAGTTTTAGTAGTTATCTAAAGAAGGGCAGAATTTATTATAATTTTCAAAAGGGGATGATTGATAGAGCAATATTAATAGCCTGAATAGAAACAGTGAACATTTGACGTTCTTCCTCAGAAAGTAATTACAAGCAATACAGTGATGATACCGATAACTGAAATAGCGCTGATATGAAAAGAAAAGGAATCAAAACAAGAAAGGGAAATCCACAATCAAACCCTTTGAGTTTCTATTTTAAAATATTTTGATCTCCATACGCATACATTTCTTCTACAATAGCGACAGCTAATTAAGAACAGGTTAAAGGACAAGTAGGTATAATTGAAACAGTTTTGAATGCACAAAGATACACAAATGCAGGAAGGAGACTTGCTCCACGTGGTAAGGCTTGCAAGTCCTTCAGAGGAGGGCTGGGCTGTCTCTTCTGACAAGTCTGCACAGTGCCCAGAATGCTGGGACCACAACCCCACCAGGTCCAGAAATACTGCCTTGGGAGAAAGAGCAGTAATTTATAACCATGTGCACTCAGCTGAAAACATGCACAAGAACGGAGATCTACTACAGTAACTGTTGGCCTCCAGGAATTAAAACTGTC